CCAGCTGTGGATCAATACTGGGACAGCTGGGACTGCCACCCGCCTAAACACTACACACATACACACCCTAAAGTGGATGAAGCTCCCGGTCGCACCCCTTTCTTCCTCAGGCTTTCTGGAAATGTCAGTCAAAGGAAGTTTGAGGTTCGCTTTAGGTGTGAGAGCCTGCAGGGGTTTGGTGGTGTTCTCCTCTAACAGGGACACACAATTACACACACTTATACATGCAGATGGGAAATCTTGAATATAGTCGTCATTTGAAGTATAATGGCTGTTATCCTCTCAGTCACGGTGTTGGATTATCATTGTGTTAACAAAACAAACATTTAAGCACAGGTCACAGGCAAACATGTCCATGATACACTGGGAAAACTGTAAACCCAAACATGCCATGGCACCATGGACGTCATCCAGAGTAATGTTTCTAATCATTTATTACAGCATTATTAATATCTTGTTTTACAGTTATTGGTGTTGTGTTTTCAGAAAATGGCGAACATGTCAACTGGAGGTGGGCAAAAATCATTTTCATTGTTGTAAATAGTTGCATTTTATATATAATTTCTATAGGCTTGCCATTTGAATTTGTATACAGAATTGCAATGTAGACATTGAACTGCACATATTGTATTGTTGTTTTAGTAGGATTTATATACTGTCATAGTACAGTATTATTAGCAGTGTTGGGGAAAGTTACTTTTAAAAGTAATGCATTACAATATTGCGTTACTCCATAAAAAAGTAACTAATTACGTTACTTAGTTACTTTTTATGGAAAGTAATGCGTTACGTTACTTTTGCATTACTTTTTAAATCTGGACAGGGCTTGCTTGTTTGTTTTTAAAATAAAAAAGTTCTATTTTTGGCAAATATATAAAAGCCGTTTCACACCAAAAGTGAAATGAATAAGCCTCAGGCTGAAGGGAAAGTACATTTACGTCCGTACAGTAGAATGCAGAAGACGACATTTCAACACACTTCAGCAATAAAAAAAGACACACAAATGTTTGTCTAGAGTAATTTGTGCTTATTAGTACGGTTGAACTGGATCATCGAAGTCAGAAGCAAAGACATTGGTTAATAGAATGGGATTAAATACATAAAGGATATTTGTGATGTTTAACATTTAACTATTGCAGATTTGCGTCATATTCTAAGTTGCATTATTTTTGTTCATTTTGAGGAATACTGAATCTGTTTTTTTTTTTGTGAGTGAGTGAGATGAATTAATGCATATTCATATTTATTTTGAACTACAGTAACATTTTCTGATTTCTCTCAACATGGGAACAGGAGAGCTGTCAGTCAATAAATTGAAAAAAAAGTAACTTGCGTTACTTATTTGAAAAAGTAACTCCGATATTCTCTTGTAAATTAAAAAGTAATGCGTTACTTTACTAGTTACTTGAAAAAAGTAATTTGATTACGTAACTTGCGTTACTTGTAATGTACCCCCAACACTGATTATTAGTATAGCATTATAGTATTTGTTAATATTTTGACTAACTAATACAGTTACCTAACTTTAGTTAACTAATAGAGTGTGTTTGTATGTTTTCTTTAACTTAATACAATCGCACAATGCTAATAATGTAATCAGCAAAACACTTTCTGACATTTTGGTTTAAACGTCTCTGCTTTGGGATTAAATGGTGACGGTGGTTTAAAGTTATTTTGCAGGATATACACAAAACTTTAATAAAACATACGTAAAGTTAACGTTTTCCACAATATGTAGTCAAAATTGACTAAAAATCTAAAATGTTTATTCATTGATGAGACTGCTGGCATATGTTGATAATCTCAATATAATCTAATATTTTTGTCTGTTATTAATTAGAAAAATGTTGTTCTCGTGGACACATTGATTTATTTTAAATATGTATCTGCTCACTGATGTTTAATGCATTTTAAATTTTTAAACACTACAGTTTGACACTCTTCTCTCAGAAAGAGAAGAGTCTATGTTGGTGTGTGTGTGTGTGTGTAGGGTGATATGCTCCTTAAGGGAGCAGCAGGGGGCAGCAGTCAGCCACCCTGGCACCTTCATCTCCCCTCTCCGCCAGGTATTTAGCAATTCTGTGGGTACAATAGCTGCGTATTGATAGTCATATCCCTGTGATAAATTAAAAGTGTCTTATTGTCTCTTTTCATTTTACACATTGTCATAACCCTGGAAGGTAATCTGGGGTTCTGATTGACACCGGCAGCCAGGGAAAAGAACACCCTCATTGTTTGCGCTCGTCAAATCTGTTAAACCTAATTCTTCCCTGCATATTTGCATATTCTTAAGTATTTTTTCGGAGAAGGACTAAATCCTTCTTAAGTGTTTGATGCATTTTGAAATTCATTCATAAAGGACCTACATGCACTATTAGCTCGGTATAATGCCAGTGCATAATCTCAGCGATAAGACACGCTTTGGAGCGCTGGATTCTTCAGGGATGACATGCTGTATTTCCGACCGATTCAACAGGGGCTCAAATGTCAACACAAATGTCAAGTGGCTTCGTCGGCGAGCGGTTTTGAATCTTAGACGCAGGTTTTTTTTCTCCCTTTTATCGTTTTCATTTACTGAAGGAGTCGCAGAGGACCATCTCCCGTCCCAGCTGGAGTGGGGGATTGTGGGTAATTTGTCTGTATGCGAGATTGGCAGGTGGCACTGTTGTTTTGATTGGGTTTCAGCCACCGGCACGTGGGGTGTTCTTCGTCAATGCCGTTTGGTCAGATTAATCACCTTCAGCAAACCGTAAGAAGGATCAGTGTGTGCTGCCCTTGTGTCCTGTGTATGGAGCTGTATTGAGGCATTTCTGAGGCGAAAATAGTCACTCTTCAGCTCTCTGCGTCTCAGTCTTCCTGAGACTGCTTTGATAAGGGCTTCTCTTTACCTACGGGACCACTGATACGTGCAAACTCGTGCGCCTGCGAGCAAGATTTCTATCTGGAGATCTATATGTAGTCACTCCACATATGCGCACAGGCAAGTGTATGAATGCAGGCTCTTTGAGAGGTTATACACGGGGCCTTCATTTCTCTCTCTGCTCATTTTGTTTTGGTTTACTCTGCGCAACAGGCCTGATGAGATAAAAGTGAAGAGACAGAAAAATCTCATAAAAGACAGAAAAATAGGCCTTGTATGACTTATATCTCGCCCATAGAGAAAGCTTGAAATGAAAGGTGCTTGCTGAAAAGAAAGCCAAATAATGGCTTACAGCGAGAGAAGAAACTTGTACAGAGTGTAAATGTTTAAAAATGTAAATGAGACGGAGAAAAAAATAAATAATTAGACCATTACGTTTCTTTGAGTCATTTCCAGTGTTCGAACTGTCAGTTTAGGTGAATTGATTTTTTTTAAACAGTTCATGATTCTGATTCAGTGAATAGTTGCATTTTCACTCAAATATGTTCATAAAAGAATGCTCTATATTAAACATTTGTTTTGTATATACTAATTAAATGATTCAATTATGAAAAAAAATTAATTGGTAGATTAAAATAGCTTTTATATGATTATAACAAATTATTAGTTTTCTAAATGGATTTAAAAGTTTTCTCTTATCCCTCCCTTTCTTTCTCTGTACTTTAATTTGTATTTAGATGTTAACAAGTGAATGTATTAGTGTCAAATGTTTTCGTAACAATTTGTTGATTAATATTGCAATATTATTAATAGGTATTAATATTGGTGAAATTAACTGGGGAAACTGATGATCTTTAACTTTTACAGTATTTTACTTCTTGCATTAATTATTAAATATACTGACTGTTTTATTAAAATGTTCCTCTAATTAAAAAATAATTTAAGCCATATTTAGATATGTATTGAGTATCATCAAAGGGCTCTTTATTGATATTTTTCTGTATTGCCGATCACTGTGGCCTGTGTGATGGTGTCAAAACATGTTTCACAGGTTGAGCGTGGTACTTTCATCCGGGAGGAAATTGCTGATACTTAGTCAGCAAGCTGAGAAAATGCCTCAAGAACAAACAATAAAAGTGATGATATTTATTTGGCTTTGTTAAATAAGAGGAGGCAGGTCAGGAAATGTCTCCAACTGTGTTTCCAACCTATCTGGCAAATGGAAAGTGTGCAGGTGGCCCAGTGTTTTGTTTTGTTCCGTTTTTTCTTAGATATTGTCGCCCTAAAATCATTTTGGCACATGGCTGGTGTCAAACCCTTTTCCTCTCGTATTTTTTTTAAAAACCATTATCATTATATATATTTTTAAACACAATCTGAATCCATAACCTGAGATATCAGAATTGATGTTTACTAGACTTCACTAACCATAAACAAATCCAATGAATTGGAGAGCAGAATAATAGCCAGTTCAGTTTTCCTTTCTAATCCCTTTAGAATATTCCAGTCCTTTTACCTACAGGGGGTGCCATTGACCATTATGACTGGGTATGTTTACACTGCTGGTTTTAGAGGTGATGAACTAATACCGAGTTTGATTATTTAAATGATTTAGGCAAATGAACGCCTTTTACTTTCAATGTGACCTTTCTTTGTTTGAAAAGTTGTTGACATGATGTTATCAAAGTGAAGCTTTATCTCACCATAGAGAATTCAGTGTCGCTCTATTTGCTATCATTTTTATCATTCTGTTCAGAGTTTATACTCCATTGAGACAGTCTATATAAACTTGTATGCACATGCTCCTGGAGTGCCGGATTCCCCCGGTGTGAGTGTGTGTGTGGGCTTTGAACATGTTAAAACAGGTGACGATTTTACCAGTAAGTGTAACTAAGGATTAGCAACATTCATTCATTCTTTTTGATTGTTTTTTTTTCTTAGTAAAGCACCATAGGGCTATTTTGTCATATGCAAATCCTTAGAGTTTGAAACTGTTAAAAACTTACTGATGTCAGTTTATCTGTGTTTTTTGTATTGTATTGTGTTGTTAGCAATTGTAGTAAATTTGTAAAAAAAAATATTTTTGCAGCTTAAGAAGTATTTAAGCATCTCTCTGTTTTTTGTGTGTGTGTTATTTTAGGAATCGCCGTCGGGTCGTCGGAAAGCGCTGGCCACCAGCTGCATTAACATGAAGCAGTATGCCAGTGCCATGCCCACACAGACAGACGTCAAGCTCAAGTTCAAGCCGCTGTCCAAGAAAGTGGTTTCAGCAACACTGCAGTTCTCCCTGTCCTGCATCTTTCTGCGAGAGGGCAAAGCCACGTAAGAGCAGCCCACTACACCATCTAGAACCAGATGACTACACCCACCCTGAAGGAATGCTGCCACTTCAAATTAAGCTCTTATTCCTTTTCTCTCTGTGCATTTCTTTCTTTTTTTGCCTCAGTTACAGGGAGTGACAATACCTGACATTCCCAGCATTCCTTTCCCTGGATCTCTCCCACTCTCATCCCTTCCTCTCTTCCTCTCCCTCTATGAATTCATCCTGTCTTCATATGCACCCCAGTGAGGTTGTTCTCTCTTTCTCTCTCTGGAATGTTCTTGCCAGTGTGGGAATTAGAGGCCTTTTATACACATATATGCTCATTCGTTCTGCCAATTGATCTGAATGGGTATAATTAATTTAGTATTTGGCTAAATAATATAAGAGCTTTATCTTTGATATAAAGTATTTTTTTTTTTTTTGAAGAACTTGACAAAAATGACTTTTTTCCCCCTCCAAAAATCATGATCTTTAAGATTTTGACAGGTTGAGTTTCATAGAGAGAGCCTGATACTATTAATTTAGTACAAATATGCACTTGTTTAGTACGAATATTCCTTCTTATCCACTAAGAGTATGCAAAAAGCAATATGTCATATGAGTAGTATAGCTAAATGAGTAGTATAGCGTTCCTAAGTTTACAGTAGGCTTGGTGAACTCTGACCTGCGAATTCGTATCATGTGAATGAGCAGATCAATATGTCAAAGCATGACCTCATAGTGGAATTAAACGAACTTAAATTTAAAACTGCACTGCTGCAGGAAAATGGAGTAGATTGTAAGTTTTTACATGTATTATTATGTTACGTGTTGAATTTAAGTTTTTAAAAAGATGCTGTGGAGCGTGATGTCATATCACGACTGTTGCAGTGTACAAATAAATTTTGCATGCTCAAAGTCTAGTGTGACTGTGGCTTAAATACTCCGATTTTTTTGTAGGTATGCTTCCAATGGACGCATTACTATCCATTGAGGCTAATGACTAATGTAGTAGGTCACATGGCCAACATGCCAGATATAGTATGGAGCGGTAGTGTTCATACTACAGAGTGTTCATGCTTTAAGAACATGCAATCCAAGATCTAATATGATTCTGTGATTGCCACTTTGAGTGATCTTCTTTTAGTTTGTCATTAAAATACAGTTCATTGGTCAGAAGAAATTGTGGCAATCAAATTTCGATTACTATAAATGAATATTTATTTCTATTATTATAGAAAATAGAGTAGAATATATAAATAGAATTATTTCCATTTGAATGTTTTCTATTATTTCTATTCTCTTTGCTTGCCAGAATGCAAATGTTGTACCCTGGGTACTGTTGTTCAGAAAATATCAGGAAACACAAATTTAAGGCTGTACCTCACGTTCTCCTGGCGTACACTAAAATAAATCAAATCCTGTCGCCCCAGACGTGAGCTGTTGCTTTTTGACATGCACGTCACAACAAACAAGTCAGATGGAATATTTCCAGCCACTGGCCCGGAGTTTGTAAATATTTTTCCTTCACTCGTCTTGCAATATCCACGATTCCCTCTTTTTTCTTTCTTTCTGATATCTGCCTGCCTCTAAATAAAGGAAGCAAGAAGCGTGTATGAGTGTATGTGATTTCACCGTTGTGCTATATGAGATACGTGTGTTTGTGTGGCTTTTGTGGCGTGTGTGTGACAGAGGTTATGCGGCGGAAGTGTAACCGCTCTTAACCCATGGGAATGATGTCAACAGCACACAAATAAACCCCATTACATAAGTTCAAATAAGCTCCATGCCTGCCAAAGAAAGACTGGACCGCGTCCATAAAGAAGTGTGAGATAGACAGAGAGAAGGAGAAGACGGGGACATTGGGAGGGAGTGAGGGAGTTAATCCTGGAGCGTTATCTCGCCATGCTTGTGAATGCCCTGGCTGGAATGCATGTCCGTATTGCACTGTCTCTTATGAGCAGGACCATGAAGGGCATTTCGTTTACACGTTCATCTTTCGCTCACTCTCTCTGTCAACCTGGCTTTCTTCTCTTCTTCAGTCCATCTCCTTCAGTATAACAAAATGCTTTTTGCACAAAAGCACAGTGAATGGAAGGCCATTTTCACTCTTTACTAACAGTTGTCAGTGTTTTATTCAAATCTGGGGAAGGTGTTATCAGGAAATAAGTGAACGGTTCTCAATCCATTCTCAATTTTACTGTATTTAAATCCATTTCAAATCCATTTAGCCTCAAAATGAGTGCAGAAAATGCAAAAACTGGGTACTGTGTCTCATCTATGAATGATTTCATCAAAAATATTGTGCTTTTATTTCTTTCTCGTTCTGTGTGTAGTGATGAAGATATGCAGAGTCTGGCCAGTCTGATGAGCATGAAGCAGGCTGATATTGGTAATCTGGATGATTTTGAGGAAGAGAATGAGGAAGATGAGGAGAACAGAGTGAACCAGGAGGAGAAGGCCGCCAAGATCACAGGTGAGACTTTGCACCTTTGCAGGTGAATCTGATACTATAAGACCACCACAGGGCTGCAGTTTGTAATGTCTGTTTGTAAACGGTTCTATTTCTTGATCTGTTCGTTTTTATTTTTATTTCTTCATTATTTTTTTCTGTTTCTTTTTTCATAGTTATTCTATTCTTTTGTTATTTTCTGTTCTGTTTCTTGGTTCTACTGTATTATATTTTTTTCTGTTATTCTTTTGTTTCTTTTTTATTAAATCTTTGGTTTTTATTCTGTTATTCTAAATGTTTTTTTCTTTTCAGTTTTATTTATTATTAGTATTATTATTATTTATTTTATTCTGTTTGTTTTGTTTCTCATTTTATTTTTATTCTGCTGGTAGGTGTCGAAACCATCCACCATCATACTCGCTCAATTTTGCTCGTAAAGCCATTTTGCGCTTCCACACTTCCGCTCGATTGAGGTCTATACGGAATATGGAATTTTTGTTTCACGCCCAGAATTTTCATACAGGGTTTCAAAACCTTCCCTGTAATATGAGTTCCTTGGACACTGTCCAGTGACTCAAAAATTCCCCACCTGGGAAAAATCTCTCTGAGCAAAACTTCGGCAACCTTTTCAGCTGTAGCTGTACGTAGCAGAAAAGCCTCTACCCATCGTGATAATTTACAGACAATGACGAGTACATATTTATACCCGTGATCGGAGAGTAGAGAAATGAAATCCAATTGCAAATTTGTAAAAGGTCCTTCGAGGACGAGGACTGTGTCCAATTGGGATTTTGCCCTTCTCTCCTTACCATCTCTTGAATCCGTAAAAGCAATCTTCCTCTTTAGCCATGTCTTGGGTTTGTCCTATGGCATGTCTTAAAAACCTGCATAAGTAAAAGCTACAATATAGACATATTAGTTCAATATCATCACAGCCTCATACATTCAGGGATTCATCATAAAGCTGATCCCCAAATTTTTATACAATTTTAAGCAACCAACTTCATGATCCAGTTATCTTTGGAGTGTTACAAGCTCTTGGTGCATAAAGAAGATCTGTAAAGTTGCAAAGACTAAAGTCTCAAATCCAAAGAGATATTCTTTATAAAAGTTAAGAGTCAACCACATGAGTCAACCACATGTCTACGTCATGATCTGGGAAGATTTGCATAACGCCGCCCAAATGTTCACGCAAAGAAAGAAGGCTTAGCTTTTATTCTCGCTGTAGTATTGTTGTTGCCGCCGCCGCCATGTCGTGAAGGCGCTGTGTGCTTCGTTGTGAAAGCGAAACTACTTTGTTTGGTCTTCCAAAAGAGGACGATATCCGCTTTGTCATGCCTGGAGCTGATCCGTGCTGGTCGCTGAGGAAATACATCAACTTCGTGCTGTGAATCGCCGGATCGGCTTTCACCACCGTGGACGAAGCGGAGTCCAGCCTGGGGTCGTCACATGTGGTTGCCGCAAGCCCGCTGGCCGCTGCTCACTCTAGGCTGCCGGCCACCTCTCACTCAAGCCCGCCTCGCCGTCGCTCACTCAAGCCGGCCTCCGCTCACTCTAGCCCGCTGGCCGTTCCTCACTCTAGCCTGCCGGCCGCCGCTCTCTCAAGCCCGCCGTATGTGACACTGTGCGTTTCGTTGTGAAAGCGAAACTACTTTGTTTGGTCTTCCAAAAGAGGACACGATTAGAAATCAGTGGTTAAGTTGTATTTACAACACTGTTCCAGAACAGTTCAACCCAAATATTCAGTTGTGTGCAGTCGCTTTTCAGACCGATGAGCTTTGTAAAAATTGACGCGTTTCAGAAAGGCGGGGCATAGAGGAGAAACAATAATGTACAGTATGTGGAAAATAATGTGTTTTTTGAACCTTAAACCACATAAACACATTTCATTACACCAAATACACAAAATTAATGTTCTTTTTAGCAACATCATATGACCCCTTTAAGAAATGTTGTTATGGTCTCACTGGAAAAATGGCTGTCATCACATGGTCTCAGATGGTTCTTGAAAGCCCATTGCCATTAACTCTTTATAAATAAGCTCCTTTTCCTCAGGGTGTGACTGACAGACTGAGGCAGACTGTCTGCTGTAACTTTTTACAGTTCCCCCTTTAACGATGCTCTAGGCCTATCAAGCATCCGCTCAACTCCGCTACCATCTTGGCCAAAAGAGGATCTTACCCGTCAACTGTGTACCTGTCAACTTACCTGTTCAACAGTGGTGTTAAATCAGGTGATCTGACCGAAATATGTTACTCGTTTACAACAAATCAGCTCATATACAAACATAATTTTCCACTGGAAATTGGCATTTGGCTGTGATGCTGAGTGGCAGAATTTATTAAAAAAAAAAATTGCAATCTAACAGTAAAATTAGTCTTTTGCCGTAACATCAGTAAATATAGACATTACAAATTTCATCTCATGACAAGTCTCTGTTACGTTTACAGCTTTAGCCAGAATCATGGTGGAGGCCAGAACGCGATAAACAAACTCTTTCATTGCAGTGAAAAGCAATCATATCTTCTGAAAGCAAAACATAAGTTCTAAGTTTTCCCAAAATGCTATTAAATGCTACTGTGTACCTACACAGTGTTTCCACCAACCCAGAATTCAGTCCAATACATTATCCGAGCTTGCAACGATAATATTGGGACTGGAACAGATTTGATGTCATTCTTTGTCATTTAAACCTTCTATGCACAAAGAATCAGATTAAATCATCACTCAGTTATTTCTGGGATTATTTTTATCAGATCGTCACTTTACACATCTAAAAATAGGCGTGTACATTTAGAAATTTGTATCTTTCTGGTTCTTTCTTTGTTTGAGAGACCATAAATTTGGCCAATTTTCAGAGAAATATTGCATCACTGAAGAATCAGTGGATTCTTCCACCGTTCGAATCACAGCATTCTAGGAATTCCAGCCTCATTGAGTATTGATATGGGTGTGGACAGTGAAGGATCCATTAGCTGCCCTCTTGTCAACAATATGTCAGCTTCAATTTGATTTAGTATGTCAAGACCCATAAATGGTCAAGACCCATAAACCCCCCCAAAAAAAATCAGAATTAGTGCAGTTTGATTTCATAATCGGCAGAGCGTTTACAATGCTGCTCAGATCTCTTGACACCCATCGACCTATACACCCCCATTCGACTAGTCGCTGTTGACTCCTCTTCTCCTGGACTCCAGCAGTTGGCTCGGTTTTCTTTTCATTATCAATGTCACCATATTGTGGTAGTTTTGTGTATAATTTCACATATTCACCCCACTCAGCCTCAGCTTTCTCCAAAAACCTGAAAAACCGCAACCTGAATACCTCCGTTAGCAGAAGTATCAGTGAAATCCTTTCCAGCTTTTCCAATTGCTCTTTTTAACTGTGAAGCATATTCCTGCCATTGAAAAATATCTTCAACTTTGGGACTTTTCCCAATAGCTGATTTTGGCTCATTAGTTACAATAGATAACATGTCCCACATGTCTTGTGTGGCATCTTTCGCAGCTTGTGCCAACTCACTTACATTTAACCCTGTTCCACTCCTATCTGTCAAAAACTCCTTTTGCCTGAGCAATCCACATACAGCTTCTTACTATCACTGACTTCCTTCATCAATCAGTCACTCTGTCTACGCGGTCCCCACATTTCTTTAAATCCATCTTTTATCATCTTTTGTATGATTTTCTCTTTCTCTCCCAAGCCAGTTCTTGCCATCTGGGCAGTTAGAGACTCAGTAGGACCTCCTCTAGTCAATGTATAAGCCATTAATCCGTATGCTGACACCTCCAACAGAAATAACAGAAATAGGTAGAAGTTATTCTACTCTTTTTTTATTATTATTATTTTTATTTTATTTTTTTTCCCTACTTAACTTTACGTTACTTTACTTTTATTAACTTCTTTCTTTTAATCTTTTTTTTAGATCACCGTCTGACACTTATTTAGATCTCAAATTAATCGCAAGGTGTGGTTCTGCTAAAGCCGAATCTTCGAGTCTAATCCCCGAGCCTATATCCAAATGAGAACGGCATCAGATCCGACCAGCACCCTGCAGTAAACCCTGCACAGCGTGTCTCAAAATATTGTTGCGCTGCAGTAAACCCTGAACAGCTCACGCTACACACCTCAGTAAACCCTGTACAGTGTATAACACAAATACTTATCCACACTGCAGTAAACCCTGGACAGTGTACAATGCATTTAATGCCGCGAATCACCATTCCCCTCCACAGAGCGCGCCCAGTTTTCACGATTAAACCATCGTCCACCCCAAATTAATTCTCTTGCTGCAGTCAAGAATATTGAATTAAACGGGTCTGCAAGATATAGCTCTTAGACTCGACAGTTCGTACAGCAGAAAACCCACAGAAAAATAGAAGAGATACTCAACTCTCTATTTTGCCTTGCGGAGCATCAACAATAGTTCAATGGATCGATGAGATCTAAGCGGTGCCTCCAAAAACGGATGCAAAATCAGATCCATGTCAGACGGGTGGGTTCAAGAAAGTTGTAAATTTATTCAAAAGTTTACAAAAATGCGAATAAGCAATAAAGAAAATCATAACTTGAAGCTGAAACATACAATTTTAAATAAATGTTATGCTGGTTGAAAGTCTCTTCACATCCCGAGAGCAATACTTTTTTGGGATTTTTGGTCCCTTGTAAATTTCAGCATGTCATCTTTGGTGTTCTTTTCAGGATTTCTGTCCAGTCTCGGTTCAGTTTCATTTGAGTGACAGTTACCTTTTTCCTTTTGTGGTTTAGTTTCTTTCTGTATGTGCACAAGTGTCCATTTACTTATGCATTTTGAGGCTTATTTATGTGCTTGTTTACATTTGTTCTGTTTTTGGTCATAGTTTATTAGCTGCTTTTTCTAGGCTTTCATACACAGTGCACTGCTTGATCTCGGTGTATAAGGAATGTCCACCCAATACATGTCCTATGAGTGTATGTTTGTGTTTGTGTTTGCATGTGCATATGTCTATGTGTGCGTGATTGTGTGTGCGTGTGGTACATTGTGATATAATCCAGCCTCCCGTTACCCCCCAGATGGTGGAGTCTTAACATTAAGCCCATGTGCTTTTATCCCTGTATAAGTGTATGTATGGAGCTCCTATGGAAATGCTTGAGTTGTTTATTCATCGTATTGGTTTAGGAATCTCTTTGTTGCCATAGAGATTACGTCCGATCTGTTTTTCAGTTTGTTAGAGCGAAGACACAGTTCTGGCTCTTTTCAGAGAGACACACCTCAACACACACACACACACACACACACAGATATTGTCTGTATGTATTGCATGCCTCTCTTTGCATTATACAGGTTAGCGTGTTTATTGATTGTATGTTGTGCTGTTTGCAGAGATTGTGAGGCAGCTGAATGCTCTCAGCTCTATAGATGGAGATCCAGATGACTGCCTAAAGCAAGCAAATAAATAATTTTTATTTAAATTATAGTTTCTCTTCATGTTTATACATTTAGTACTACTGTAATGGTAGGTTTAATTTATGTAATACCGGTGTAGATGCGCATTTTTTTTGCTTGTGTATTTCTAGAACCATCTCCTAAGCCCCATGTGTGGTCCACTATCAGAGATCAAGAGCCTGTATATGATCAGAACACCTCTTATCCTTCAAACCCATTTGATGAGGCTGACATAGAAATGGACTCTCCTCAACATGGCAACCCGTTTGATGAACCTGAACCCGAACCCCAGCCTAAAGTTTCTCCACCCAGAAGCAGCAAGAGGAAGAATGTCCGGCCGGTGGACATGAGCAAATACCTGTACGCCAACACGACCAAGACAGAGGAGGAGGAGCTAGATGAGTGAGTCAAGGAATTCTGGGATGTTCTGTTGGAGGGGCTGTAGGTTAGAGCAGAACATTTTAAGTGGTTATTTTTGAGTTATCAAAACAATTCTGGAACACACAAAATCTCTGTTTGCTCTTCTACTGTTCATTAGTAGTGCGTGAGTGTGTGTGCGCGCGTGTTTGAGAGAAGGAGAAAAGCACTTGTCGGAGGAGAAGAAAGTGGTGAGTGAGTTCTTTCAGCAGGAACAAGGCTTCTGTTGTTCCCCACATTCTTTGGCCTTGTCTGTTCATCTCTGCATTTCTCGCACTTACTCACAGTGCTCCAGCAGGGACACACGTTTCCAAACCTGACGTTATGTAGCGAACAGGAGAGCAGAAGAGGGTGTTTATTTTTGTTTATTTTTCCTATGTTAAATAACTGTCACTTTCTACTACAGCACATATGTATATGTATATAGCCATTACTCCAGTCTTCATCCACATGATCCTACAGAAATCATTCTAATATGCTGATTTGCTGCTCATTTCTTCCTATTATTAGTGCTAAAAACAGTTGTGCTTCTTAATATTTTGTGAAAACTGCAATGCATTTTTAGATTTATTTGATGAATAAAAAGTTCTAAGGATCAGCATTTGTTTAAAATCTTTTGTAACATTATAAATGACTTTACTGTTTTGATCAATGCATCCTTTCCAAATAAAAGTATGGATTCTTTAAAAACGGAGCTTACTGAGCTTAAACTTTTGAATTATATATTTATACTAAATGCGAGCTGTATATTAATATTTAACAAAAGTGTTTTTGTTTTTTTACAAAAATAATCTAGAAATGACCCTTTTAAAATGATCATTATTTTTCAATGATCATTTTTGCTTAGTCACACGATACATGAGACATATTTTTAAAAAATTGCCTACAGTTCTCTGATCCCTCTACCTTCTCTTTCTGCTTTGCTTTCACTCTGTCTTTCGTCCTCTCTTTCACCTCCATTTGTTTTGACTGCACTTTCCACTTTTTTCTTTTATTAACTTATTTGCATTGCTGTCAGCTCTTTCCTCCCTCCTTTCTCACTCTCGCTCTTTCGCTCTCTGTCTTTGTCCGTAAGCTTGGGAGCTTGGGATACTTTGTGTCTTTAACCTTGTCTTTCAGCTGAATACCTGTTCAGTCTTTTCTCCGCTCTGTCTCCTCATTGTGTGTGTGTGTATTCATGTACATGTGTGTGCCTGTGGTGAGTGATGGGTCTTTACACAGCAGTGTGTATTGATGCCAGCGGACGTCTGTGTCCGTCTGTCAGTGAGCTCTCCGACGAGGCCATAGGTTAAAGTTCATGAGGTGTGACCTCTGGAGCACCTGGTCCTTCTCATAGTCAGTAGAGCGTTTTATTGGCTAATAATGTTTGCTGATGTTTACATGAAGACAACAACACACACACACATTTGTCAGCGTAATATACAGACAAGTAGAAAGGTGCAGAAAATCTAAATGTTTTAAACTGGCTAAGTATACTAAATTGACAAGTACCTGTAGTGTGAACAAAAACACAAGTGTCCCATTTCTACTGTGATTCGCCAAATTGTTATTTTGCTGATATGGCGGTTTGTTCTCCCACTCTTAGATCAAACCCATTCTATGAGCCCAGATCCTCTGGTGCAGTCACATCCGAGGTAGACAGCAGCATCTCCGAGAAGAGCACCAAACGCCAGGCCCCTCTGCCTCCTAGTGCTGGACCCAACCCTGCTGTGGCCCCTGGAGGCCCTGTACCAAAGACCTCAGCTCCTGAAGGAACACCCACTCCACAGGCTCTGGCACCCTCAGCTGTCTCAGCTGTTATAGGTAGAGAGTTGACCTCGTCCTCACCCAAGGTAAATCTTCCTCACCACATTATCACTCTTATTTCCAATAGAGTATGATGTTAGTGTATTGTTGTGCTGACAATAATTGCTGTAATTAGTATCAACATCAAAATAGACTAAAATTGTTTAAAATAGTTATACTAATAAATAGACCAAAATAGTTTTTTTGTCTTTAGACTTTTGGTATTAAATTTGGTATTTGGTATTTTTCACCTCATTAGCTATCTTACATTTTTACTGAGCTTGTCACAATGCATTCTGGGATTGTGATGCAATGCAGCCTTAGATTTTTGAAAAATGGGTTGCTTACAAGCCGGGTACCTATTGGTAAAGGCTTTGTTTTGGGAATTAACCTATGATGCCTTTCATATGCTGTAACGCAGCTCATTAGGTTTGGAATACAGCTACAGAATTGATCTTTTTTGGTAGATGAATACTAGTCTTTGGGTTACCTGTATTTTTGTAAACTTTATATTTGTTACTAGGGATGCACTGATACTAAATTTCTCAACCGATACCGATAACTCATTATTCATAGTAACATCTGCTGATGCCATTATCGATACAGATACATGTAGCTTGGTTTTCTTAAGGAAGAAAATCTCTCCCAACTAATGCTAGTTTAAACTCTACAGGGAACCCTCTCATTTGGTACATAACTAAAATATTAAAGGTTATAATTAACAACAACCCAAACTATTGTATTCAACTGTTTTTATTTCTTTTCACATAGAATAATCACATTCAAAACTGAAATGTAAAAAAATGCATATGGTAGTTTAAAAAAAACTATTATCAGGGTGAAAACATTTGTGCTGCTTAATATTTTTGTGGAAACCGTGATGTTTTTTTTGGGAATCTTTGATGTATAGGAAGTTTAAAAAAAAACAGCAAAAAAAGTGTCTTCAGAAAGATCCTTCTGGTCCCACAGAATTTTTGTGTATTTGAACCCTTTGCAAAAATGACTATGATTTTGAGATCCATCCTTTCACACCGAGGACAACTGAGGGACTCATATGCAACTATTACAGAAGGTTCAAACGCTAACTGACGCTTCAGAAGGAAAAACCATGCATTAAGAGCCGGAGATGTGTACATTTTTCTTATTTTGCCTAAATACAGGTGCATCTCAATAAATTAGAATGTCGTGGAAAAGTTCATTTATTTCAGTAATTCAACTCAAATTGTGAAACTCGTGTCTTAAATAAATTCAATGCACACAGACTAAAGTAGTTTAAGTCTTTGGTTCTTTTAATTGTGATGATTTTGGCTCACATTTAACAAAAACCCACCAATTCACTATCTCAACAAATTAGAATACTTCATAAGACCAATAAAAAAACCATTTTTAGTGAATTGTTGGCCTTCTGGAAAGTATGTTCATTTACTGTACATGTACTAGCCCACCGAGTGTGAATGAGAGCGAGGGGTTGGGCTGCTGCAGAGGGGCTTATACATGGTCAGATTAAATCCCTACAGGCAGAATGTTTTTATTTACGCCTGCGAGTGTGTGCGTTATAATGTAGTCCATATTTAATTATAGCGAGGGTTTTATCACAGCGCAGCACTTGTGTATGTGTGTCCGCGCCTGAGAAGTCCTGCCCAACTTAAACATTTAATTGCCCAAATTCAGTGGCCTGTGAGGACACACACACACACACACAAGGCAAATAAGCAAAAGTCCCTTGTTTGTCCTGAACAGTTAAACTGGAGTGAAGACTTTGAATTTGAAGATCAGGGTAAATTTAACTTTTGTCTTCTGGGAAACATGTAACTATCTTCTTTAGCCTCTGATGGGCAGTACTAAATTAATTAGATTATTAAATTAATTATTTTGCCTAATGAATTTAGGCAAAATAAGAAAAATTTACACATCTCCGGCTCTTAATGCATGGTTTTCCTTCTGAAGCGTCAGTTAGCGTTTGAACCTTCTGTAATAGTTGCATATGAGTCCCTCAGTTGTCCTCGGTGTGAAA